TCCATCTAAGCCGGACAGCTACAGTTTTGCAAGAGATGGATGTGGCACTATACGCATTGATGACGGTAAATGGGACGACATTGCATGTACGCTAGACAATCCATTATCAGGCGCTGTTTGCAAAATGAAGTGCACACCGTATGATCCGATAATATACAGTTTTGATGCTGATCAATAAACGGCAGTGAGAAACGAATAAAATACTTTTTTGCTGGAAGTATGATTTGCCGGATGCAAAGTACCACAGAGAGTCCGGTTTCAGGTCATTCACTCGCAGCTTTCGCACCTTCATACATTCATTTCCCCTACTGGGTGTAAGTTTACGTGCATGAACAAATACATCTCCCCACCCCTCTTCCCACAGAACGAACTCTGTTTGGGACGCACCAGACTTGGCATCAGCGCTATCATGTGTTTTTGCACCTAGACTTGAACCAGTAGCCATAAATCTGAGCAGTGTTACGAGCAGGCTGTTTATGAACCACACTATCATTTGCTAAAGGGCAATTTTTTGTCAGTATGCCCTCTCAATCTCTGTCACCAACCAGAATATATTTTCATTTTCCTCTCAATCACTGTTTCTCTTCCAAAGCTGCGTTGTTGGGCCGAAGAAATGCCCTCTCAATCTCTGTCTGAGAACGCACCGTATTTCCGTTGTCTTCTCAATCTCTGGCACTCCCTCTTCTTTTACAGCATAGTCACAGAAGAGAATCCGGGATTGAGAGGGTGACAAGATATAATGAGATTGACCGCAGAAATTGAGAGGGCTGCGACATACCGTGGAACTGATTAACAGACTGAAAGAGAGGAACTCCGACTCCAGTCTGGGACGAGGACCGATTCGTGATTGTCTTGGTACTTTTTCAACGAATAGTTAGTTGGATTTCTAAAAAGTTGGGACATCGACGTTGCGGGCATTTGCATTCTAGGCAAAAAGCAGTTCAAGGGAGTTTTGTTTATCGCTTTACTCGCAGTACAAGGATGAGTTCGGCACCGTATGACAAGCACGAAGCAAGTGATGACACATTAGTCAAGTACGTATGACGCTTTTTGGTCAGACAATTGCTTACTGAAGAAATTTTAAAATACATTTGGAGCAAGTATATTCTTAAAATAATAATAATTGGCCAGATTATCGACA